TATATATATACTTTAAATGTACTGTCACATCACGGGTACCCTTGACCCCATGAGGAAGTCAAGACAATTTTTCCAAGAAATCACTGACACACTCATACACAGTACATGATCTTCTATCCTCATTAGGACTTGCATTGACTTCCATTGATTTCAATAGCCTAATCCCCCTCCCCACCCCCTGAATTTACACCTTGGTCATAAACCTAGCCCCTAACACACCAATAGCATTTTAACTCATAGGGATCAGGCTTTTGTTCCCATAAAGAGCAGTGAGTCCTCACAAAGCTGTATGCACTGGGAATATGGTCCCAAATGCAGAGGCGATTGCTCTAAGACTGCAAGGGAAGCTCAGCTTCCCTAAAAATGTTTAAAAAACAGATCAAATATATAATGTTGTGTACATGTCATTGACTAAATATGCTTTACAACGCGCTCAACTTCTATTCAGAATCAGCTTTTTATCACAGGTAACGACGCGGCTTTCCTCTCCCTCATTCCCGCAGCTTCATGGTGCTTTAAACAGTGTGGACGCTAACCTTCCACATAACTCATTAGCGATGCAAAGAGTGCAGCAAAACGAGACGAGTCATTGGATAAATGCTGGCTTTGTCCCACCCATCGGACGCTGAACATTTCTGGGGGTCTATGGGGAAGAGGGCTGGCCTTGGCTGGCCCAGATGCTCAGCTTCTGCTTGACGATTGGATGATATGTCGGAGGCTGAATCCCGTTTTGATTGACAGCGAAATGAGCGAATCAGTAATCTTTTGGTGTAAACATTCCGTGGGAGCATTTTTTTTTACTTTCGTTTCTGTCCTGAGTTGAATTGGAGACTTTATTAATCCTTTTAGCAGCATTTTCTTTGTTAAAAACTAACGACAAATCGAGCTTCTATTTCTGGTGGATGTTTTGTAGCTGCTTGTGTTTGGAGACGGACTTCTATCACTCTTTCTTACTTCTGTCCTGCGGCTGCTGCTGAGCCGCTCCACCGTCACAAAGCACTCACAGACGGACACACTTCACTCTAGCCTCACGCCAGTCCCAGCTATCGAGCTAGCTAGGTAGCAAGCTGCACATAATGGCAGACAGTTTGAATGTTGTGGAGCGGATTTTGGCGAAACCATTTGATAGTCTTCCTTATGAAGAAAAACTTAGAGTTAAACAGCAGGGCTGAGCAACTCCTCAGATTAATTTGGTGCAAAAGGTGAGGAAAGGTAAGATTAAAAAAAACTTTTTATTGATCTCACAGTGGGGAAATAACAGGTCTTTTCAGCTGTCCTGGTATGACAGCACTGGCTGCTGTAAAAGACTATAGAATAATCTGGAAAATGATTATAAAAGCATTGGATCAATTAATTCCTTTAAAAAAATGATCAAAGCAAAATTGTTAAAGAAATATGAAATTGTTTAATTTGTATTTGTATGAGTCACTGTTTGAGGAGTTGAATTTTTTGTTTTGTTTTATTATTATTTGAAATTAATATTTATTTTGTAAATAGGAGCAAATATCATAAGAC